CAACGAGTCTTGGTACTGAAGATCCTTACAGCGTTCTTGAGCAGGATTTTTTTTTTTTACATTTTTTTTAAAGGTTTTATTTATTTGACAGAGAGAGAGAGCACAAGTAGGCAGAGAGGCAGGTAGAGGGAGAGGGAGAAGCAGGCTCTCCTCTGAGCAGGGAGCCCAACATGGGGCTCAATCCCAGGACCCCGTGGGATCATGACCTGGACCAAAGGCAGCTGCTCAACCGACTGAGCCACCCAGGCACCCCTTGAGCAGGATTAATGGATAAAAAATAGTTTTGTGAAAATTAATCTGATGGGTGGGTGATAAAGATGGATTATGGGGGGAGCATTCCATTTAGGAGAGAGATTCTTTCGTTTCTTCTTTCTTTTAGAGATTTATTTATTTTAGGGGCAGGGGAGGGGCAGAGGGAGAGAGAATCTTCAGCAGACTCCCCACAGAGTGAGGGGTCCGACGACAGGCAGGCTGAATCCCACAGCCCCGAGATCAGGACCAGATCTGATATCGAAAGTCAGACACTCAAATCAACTGACTGAGCTATCCAGGTGCCCCTAGGAGAGAGATCGTTTAGAAGCCAGGAAAGTCAACTAGATAAGAGATGACAAGGACTTGACTAAGTGTGGGAGCAATAGGAATGGAAAGAAAGGGTTTGTTAGACAAGGAAGTGACATTCATAGGAATTGGTGACTGATTAGAAGGGAAAGGGAGGGAAGTCACCAACCTAGTTGCTCTGTTTTAGAATCCCTGAAGTCCATCCATCTATATGGCTTCTGACCAGAGAACAGGCAAAGAGAAACCCCTGAGGAACATCCCTGACCAGCACAGAAACTTATCTGGAAAATTTTCAGAGTCTGAGACTCACCCTCACGCTGACCTCGCTCACCTTGACCCACCCAGATCTGTTATACTCCAAGGCCTGTGCTCTTTCCATGTTGGGCCCAACATTGGAAACCATTTAAAGTTCTCACTGAGGTTGGTCCACCAAAGCCACTGGGATTCTCCACTTCACTCACTATCTTGGGCTTGAGACTTATAAAAAGGAGGGCACTGTTGGGCTGATGCCAGCCTGTTTTCATTAACCCCTTCCCTGGGCTCCTCTCAGCTTTTTGGGGCAGAGCATAAACCAATTTGACCAGGACCCAGAAGACTGGAATGATGAGGGAGAGCTTGATCAACTGGAGAGATCAGAAGGTTGGCAACTTGCTCAATGTAGCATGCAAAGTGGGGAAGTGAAAGGACCCCACTCCCAAGACTAGGGTTGTAGCTGGGGCTGGAGGTGATGTCACATAAACACTGCTGAGGTCATAGAAGCTTCCCTCTCCTCCCCTATTTCCCTATTGCCACACAGTCTCTCTGCTCAGCCGGCTCCCACATACCTGCACACACATAAACAAAGGCTGGGGAAGGGTCAGACACCATTCAGGTACTCTTAGGGGCACAAAAGTGGTGGGGAAGTGGGTGGTAGTGTGATTATTCAGTCTGTAGGATCCACACTAGTACCCCAATGCTGGAAACAGTAGGTGGGATGGGAGTGAGGGGGAAAAGGAAAGAGAGGGACAGGGAAGAGGGGCTTTGTTCCTATTACTGATCCTGATTTTATCTTAACTCCCATCCTTATTACTCCTCCGTCCTCCCGTCCCCTCCTCCTTCACCCCCAAGTCTCCCCCGCCTGCTGTCCTCCCCCACCTCCAGTTGATCATGGCATCAGAAGCAGGGAAAACTTTCCAGCGGTTTGCTGTCTTTGGAGAATCATCAAGCAGTGGCACTGAAATGAACAACAAAAACTTCTCCAAGCTATGCAAAGACTGTGGCATCATGGATGGCAAGACAGTCACCTCCACTGATGTGGACATCGTATTCAGCAAAGTCAAGTAAGGGACCAGAGATGGGAGGTAGGGATGGTGAGTAGAACCAACAAGGCAGTGGGACATGGAAGGGTACATGGAGCAGAATATGCGTAGTGGGTCTACTGAGCACCTGCTGGGTCCTTGGCCCTGTGCTATCACCTGTCCTCAGGACACTCAGTGTCAAGAGGCCAAATCCGAGTAAGGGGAAGGTTGGACCTTGGAAGGTGATGAGTTCATGTTCCAGAGTTTTTGGATTTCTGTCCGGCTGACCAGGGCCAAGAATGCCCGAACCATCACATTTCAACAGTTCCAGGAGGCAATGAAGGAACTGAGCCAGAAACGATTCAAGGACAAGAACCCAGATGAAGCTCTGGAGAACGTTTATAAACTCATGGAAGGCAAGGATCCAGCTACCACTGGTGTTACCGTGAGTGACATGCTTCATCCCTCACCCTTGACCCAACTTCCTTAGATCCCTGCTGCTCCTGTCTCCCCTCCCACCTTCCACTGTCCCTCACCTCTGCCATTAGTAATACTGTAGGGAGACAAGGCAGAAAGCCTCCGGTGTCCTGTTGGTATTGGAACAGACTTTAGAGATCACCTAGTAACTTCAGAGATGAGGAACTTGTGGCCCAGAGAGGGGTCCACATCTATTTTAATAGTAAAATTTAGACTTATTCCCAAGTGTCCAGATGGCTTTGCAGGGGAACGCTGAGTGCAGAAGACTTGGTACCTGATCCCCACTCCTCTTCCTGATCTTCTGTAAGGTGTAATCTCTGACCTCCTGCCTCTCACCTTCCGTCTGTTCCCTATTTGTCCCCTCTCTATTTTAAGTTCCCTCTACTCTAGGTTTCAAATAGGGCCCTCCCAGTAGGAGGGACCTTGCATATTGGGTCTGGGGTTGAAGTCCTCTGGCTGCAGCCTGGTCACAATAACTCCCTTGGAAATAGAAAAATCCACACACACCCCCATGCATTCCCATACACCAAACTCTTCCACTCTCAGGAGTGGATGGCTCTTGCCACAGTTCCCGCCCATGGCTGCATCTGGGCCCTAGAGAAAGCAGCCCCATGCCAATGGTAGAACAGAGCACAGGGTACCAGCAGAATCAGAGGCCATCTTTAGAGAAGGGATGTGACAGCGAAGGGGAAGGGAAAGGGATCAGACCCGTCCTCCTCTGGCTTGCAGAAAGCAACGACAGTGGGTGGGGTGAGCCGGCTGACGGACACCAGCAAGTACACGGGCACGCACAAGGAGCGCTTTGACGAGAGTGGCAAGGGCAAAGGCATCGCAGGACGGGAAGAGACGACTGACAACTCAGGCTATGTGAGTGGCTACAAGGGTGCTGGCACCTATGACAAGAAGAGCAGCAAATAAGAAGTAGCCTCAACAACTAGGGTCAATTAGTCCTCAGCCTGGCATCTTAAACACCAGGGAGCATAGGGAACAATAAACATCTGTGTGTACAGCAGCCAATGAGCCCTGTCTTCCGTCAGGATGAGGGATAGATGGGCCCACGGGTGCAGAGAGAAGAGAGAGCCCGAGGAGTCAGGGTTTCCAGTTCTGCACCCTTTCTCTACTTAGCCTCATGCCTCCCAGCCAGAAGTTAGCATTCCCTTCAACAACTGGTTCTAAGAACAGAGCTGAGGAATATATTTGGGGGTAAGAGACAAACAAGATGTGGAGGCGGAAGTATGTGCTCCTTTGCATTCATACGTTACTGGTATCCACCATCCTTATCTCCCAGAGGAGAGTAGCAATTCCTGATTTGACATAGTATGACCCAGACACCACCAACTGGATGCTTCCCTGTCCCTCTACCTTCCTCATCTGTTGTAGTCCAGGTTTTGTTGGAGAAATAGAAACCAGCTAGAATGGGCCAAGGACTTACTCGGCTTGACTCCTATTATGAGTTTATGCTCAAGCTGGGGGAGGGAGGAGAGAATCCATTTTTAATATCCAGCCCAGAGCTGAGTTTTACCCCACCCCAGCTCCATCGTGGTACACATGGAACAGAAGATCCCACTCACTGCTAAGGGTAGCCCAGGAAGACAGCCAGAGATGGGTGGCCTCCAGGACTCCAAGAGTAGGAGTTCTGGTGCGCTGAGAAAAAAGGAATGAACTGAGAACTGATTCGGATGTGTTTTTATATTTTTATTTTGAAATGACTATAGAGTCACAGGAAGATGCAAAAATAGTACAGAGAGGTCCCACATACCCTTCACCCCAGTTTCACCCAGTGGTTATATCTTACATCACTCAGATGTGGTTTTAAAACCTTTCATGACTACAGCCAGGCTCACCTCAGCCCTGTCCTGTCAGCAGGAGATCTTGGAGTTTGGGGGGTGTCAGGAGGAGCTTTGGGAAGGAAAGGGATGCAGTAATCTTGGAGGGAACAGGTCAGAGAAGGTAACTTGAAACTCCAGTGAGCCACAATGAGGAGGATGGAAGAAAAAAGGGTCAGAGAAAGGAAGACAGGGTGACTACAGGAGGTTGGGAATGTCAGGGAGCGACTACCCTGGGCTCTGTGGTAGAGAAGAAAGGAAAGAACAGGTGATGTGGAGAGAAGATCAGTGATTTCATAGAGAGGAGCAGATTGGGACCTGAGGGGGTTTCTGGAGAAGTGAGGCTAGAATGAGTCTAAGGGTCTCAGGGAGGTCCCTGTAGCTAAAGGTACCTACTGTGTAGGTGAGTGAGTGGAGAGTCCTAAGGGGGCTGGGGAAGGCTGAGAAGAGAAGGGTGGTGGGGATGGGGAGTTGAGACATGGAGCTGGGTGCCGGTTGCCATGGTGTGAGCTGAGGCTCTGGGCCTCCATCCAGGAATCAGGATCTGGCCCAGTGGATGGACAGTCACTGCCAACTGGACACAGTCAGCTTCTTGGGTGGGTAAGACTGTCTGTGGGAGAGGGAGGATGGTAGGGGAAGAAAGGAGGTAAACAAGTTGGAAAGAGGCTACAAGGCAGTATGACTTTGCATGGTGACTGAAGCTCGAGACATTTGTCCTACCTCTCTGGTCTCTTGGGAGGGGATGCTGCCTGCCTTTGAAGTCAGGGAGGAAGCCTTATACCAGGGATCAGAGGTTTGGGAGTAGGGACAGGCTGGTGTGTGGTGGCAGTAGGGGGCAGTTCAGAATGAAAGCCTACCTTTCCTAGTAGAGGCCGATGATACCTATCGGTTCAGCATCATGCTTTCCAGAACAGAGCAGGTAGAGCCTTTGGTTGGTTAGGGTGTCATTGTAGTGGCAGCTCGTGGGCGGCTGTCTAGAGGCCAGAGAGCAGATCGTGACAGGGAAGGAGTCCTCTGTGAGTGTACAGTATTCATTGTAATTCTCACAGAAGCTATCGCTGTACTTGCAGAACTTCTTGATCTCTCTCCAGGGGGCATGCACCATATAATGGATTTGGGGGCAATACCAGCTCTGTTTTCTGCCCCGCACATAGGCCATGAGACCATTACAATAGCCCTGGAAACCCTTTGGGTAGCTAACCCGGGGATAGTCGATGTGTAATATGCGGAAGTTCTTGATGGCAATCTGCACCTTGATGTCCACAACCAGAGTTGGCCCTAGAACAAGCTGGAGAAACAGGAGCCGGGCCACAGCTGGTGCCATTCTTCCTGCTGGTAGAGTTAAGTGGTTGGAGGCAGAGGTGGGTCTAGAGTGGCTGCCTGCCCCTTCCCAGAGCCTCCAGCATTCCCCCAGCCTTCCCCATGGGCCTTCCCCTATACCCTAAGAGCTGGACTCTACTTCAGAGATAATCTAACCCAGGTCCTCATGTCCCAGAGAGAGGAGACACTTGCCCAAAGTCACTCAGCTGGCCGGCCACCTTCAGCCACTCCCCCCACTCCTTTGGTCCACCCGGAGGTCTCAGCTTCACCCAGTCTGTGAACTGTAACACTTACAGACTGAGAGGTCCAACTGGTTCTTGGGTGAGCGACTCTTCCCGATTATCCCCGGCTCTGGTCAACCTTTCTGGTAAAAAATGCAAAGGGGACAGAAGGAACAGGCTGACCTACGATTGTCTGACTGCTCTGGAGAAAGGACGGGAGCTGGAAGACAAGCGGGGCAGGAGCAGGGGTAGCAATTCTTCCCGCCAAGGCCAAAGACAGCCCAAAGGTGAGAAGAGGCTAGAGAGCTCTCTGGACAAAGACCAGTCTGGGAGGAGGGAGCGTCCCCTGAGTTTGAGGACCCGCTGTGCTGAGGGGGTTGGATGGGTGGGAGGATAGAGACATTGCTGTCTGGTCTCCTCCTTTCTGCTGTCATCAGAACACTTAGTTCCAGCTCCTTGCCAGAAGGCTCGAAGTTCTTAGGTTTTCTTTGATGTTTTCCCTGGTCCGTAGGCCGTGCTTCTGTGGAAAGGTGAGAAGGAAAGTACTGTCATGTTTCTGAGGGACAAAGTGCTACTTATTCCTGACCCTCAGAGAACAAAGGGTCGGCTGCTCACCCCACTCGCCCCGGAGGCCACACGTGCACGCACACAAGGGCCTCCCACTGAGTGGGTCGAGAACCAGAGACCTCAACGTGGACCCCCACAGTCCCCATCATCACCTCCACACCAGTCCCAATCACACTATCAGCCGACTCCCTCACCTCCGACCTCAGGCCCTATCAGAGTCTGAGCACTCCCGGAAACCTACGCACGCTGACCCTGAAGCCTCCAGCTTGTCAGGTGGGATTAGACAGCATAGCCTGGACGTGAGGAAGTGCGGGCCCTGTGAGGATCAGATTCTTACTGTAGTTTGCCATGTGGGGAAAGGGCCGGACTCCTAACTCTCTTCATCAACACCTGCTGCTTCATGAGAACTAGAGACCCTGCCAGCCGCAGCCCTTGACCTCCACAGGCCTCACGGCCTGGCCTCCCTGCAGGGTGTTGTCCGGGTGGTGGGCTTCCTCGTAGGACAGCCTACTCCATCCATGTCCTGGAGAATGGGAGCCAGGAGTCAGAACACAGATCCCCAAGTGTTCTAAGGCCAATGTGTGGTCTGGGGGTGGTGCAGAGTACTGGAGGCACTGGGGGTACTGGCGTGGCTCTTCCTGCCAGTATGAACTGGAGTCCCAACACTGAACCCATCCTCCCCACAACTTGCTTCTCCTCCCGAGTTGTCTGTCTCCCATTTCCTCAGTTACCTATGCAAGAAATCTGTGATCCTAGGCCCTCCCCGCTCCCTAACCCCACCATGGGGAGGCAGTAGCTGCAAGGTGGTTAAGAGCAAGGCTTTTGAGTCAAATAGACCAGAAATCCTGGCTGAATCCTGGCTCTGCTGTTTACAGGCTGTGTATCACCAATCTAAGTTTGCTAAAAACACCCTAAGTTGCGATTTCTTCATCTAGTAATGGGGGTAATCTTTTATACCTCATGGCACTATTAGAGTTCATTACGATGTATATCAGGAGCTTTTAGCCCAGTGCCTGGCACCTGGTGAGTACTTACTATGAGCATGAGTCCATTAGTCACACAGCCCTGACACCTAAGACTGTTCCTGAAACTGTCCCTTCCATCCCTGTCTCTTCGCCTGCTCAGGCTCTCCCCTCTCTGGGACACCACATGCTCTCCAACTCCAGTAAGGCTCTACACCTCATAGGACAGAAGACTTTCCATGACCTGACCCCCGCCATGTCTCCAACTGCATCTCCATCCATGCCTGTTTCCCCCTTTGTGCCACCCTCCACCTCTTCATCCTGGCTCATGCCACCTCCTTTACCCAGGATGTTGTTCCTCACTTCCTTCCACTCTTACCCCCATCACCTCCACTGAGCTAGCTCATGTGAAGTCTCAGCCTGGAAATCCCGTTTAAGAAGGCTCTGCTTGGAAGACCACCCCCAGGGAAGTGTGCACAGCCAAGCAAGTGAAGGTGAAGCCCACACAGGCCAGTGGCTCATCTGTATCCTTCAGGCTGGGTCTATAGGCCAACACTGAGTGGGAGACTTGCAGGGTGGTGCCTAAGCCTGGCTGACTCAAGTGTTGGTTTTGAGGAAGTCTGCTGTTGTCCCCACCTCAAAGCATGCCTCTTCCCTATTTGCTCAAGGCTGCAGCTTCCCTGAGAAGAGGTAGGGGCTTTTCATGAAGGGCTCCTGGTCTTCCTCTTCCTTCATTCGATGCCTACCTACCACCCCTCTACTCTGCACACACAGTTACAAAAATGAAACAGCGCTTCACAGAGGAAAGAGTTCAGGACTTGATTTCAGATAACCTACTGAATTTCTGCTTCCTCGTCTATAAAATGGGATGAATACCTTCCTTACCTCATGAGGCTGCAAGAAGAAAGTGAGATGGTCAGCATGAACGTGAATTTCAACCATCACACAGTATATAAACAACGTGTAACTAGATTTGATCTCCTGGGTTCTACACTAACTCACTTTTTTCCCCAACTCAACATCGGCAAAGCCTCTTTTATTCCCCAGATGATCCACGTGACCTTCCCCATCCCCGCTCTGCCAACATGGAGGCCACTCTGACACCTGACTTAAAATTCATCTTCATGAAGCTTTCTATTATTAGCCATGCCCTGTGTCGATTACCTTAAAAAAAATTTTTTTAATTTATTTTTTTAAAGTTGTTAAATACCATCAGAAAAGCACTATGACAAATGTTGGGGGCAATATAAAGGTAAATAAAACAGCTCCAGCCCAGATTACATGTATAATTCAGCAAGAAAGACACACGTATAAGCATGTCACAAAGGCCTGAGCCCAGGACCAGGAAAGGTGCTGAGTGTGCAATGGGCCTTCAGGTGCCAGACTGCAATTCTAGTGGCCCGGTCTTTAAAATCCTGTCTTCAAGGTGCTGATCCACAGCATTGCTGCTTCCACGCTGACATCCTTGTCATGGTTTCATCTGCTCCCAAGGCCTGAGATTTGTGGAATTCATTGCCTCATTACACTGGGCTTTACATACATGAGAATTACCCTAGAGATGAAGAAACTAAGTTTGAGAGAGAGTAGTTTGCTCAAGGTCATATGTCTAATTTAGTAGTTCTCAACGGGGGCAGGGGCAGGCAATTTGGTTATGTCTGGGGACAATTTTGGTTGTCACAACTGGGAGGGGCTGCTGGCATCTAGTGGGTAGAGGCCCGGGATGCCATTAAACATCTGACATTGCACAAGACAGCTCCCACAACAAAGAATTATCTAGACCAAATGTAAACAGTGCTGAGGTTGAGAAACTCTGGTCTGGGGCACCTGGCTGGCTCAGTCAGAAGAGCATGCAACTCTTGATCTCAGGGTCTTGAGTTCAAGATCCACATTGGGTGCAGAGATTACTAAAAAAAATAAGTACACTTAAAAAAAGAAAAGAAAAGAAAAGAAACCCTGGTCTAATGAGTGAATCAAATTTCCTAACAAAGGCAGAATTACTTATGCCTTATATATTGAAAAGGGCTGGCAAATCTCCAGAACTTAGAAATATTTGTGTTAGATTTTGCTTTGAGTAGTGATGGTTTTTCTACCAGCAAGAAGAGCACCGAATGTTCACCACTGAAACTTTTGAGTTGTTTTTCCTGTGAGGGTGACCCTCTGCCTGTAGTCCTCTACACATTCTCTCCCTCCTTTCCTCCCAGAACAAGTGGCTAGCGTAGCAGGTGCAGGGGTGATTCCCTGTGATTGAGGGGAACCCCAAGATTTTGCCCAGAGTGAGCTTACCAGAATCTCAGTGGGGTCACTTCTTTGCCCTATCCAACCCAAATTGATCCAACCAGCATAGCATGTCATGGGCAGTTCCTGGGTTGTCCTTGAACACAAAGGATTGCTTCATGCAGCTCAACCTTCTTGTCATGACTTCACCTCAACCCCAGGGTTGAAGTCCAGGAGCTGTATTGTCAGTTCCTCCATTGCTAACCAGTGCTGAGGTTGCTGCTGGTCCCACCTGGGACTCAGATCATTCAGGGGCACAATGGACAACCCAGAAGTTGAATCAGTTAAGAATCATTTATATGCAAGGCCCTGAGCTATCCCTGTGAGAAGCAGGAAAAAAGTATAATATAGGTGGTCCTTGTCTTCTGAAGATCGATAGTGTAAGTTGGAGGAAAATGATAAATACATATGAAGAAACAACCAACGATTCAAGGCAGAAAATTGTACGTCTTGAAGACAGAACTGTAGGAATTTAGAGATGGAGAAGATCCCTCTGAATTGGGGGGCATCGGAGCAAATTTTCTGTGTGAGGGGCAGGTCACCCTGGGACCTTGGGATGGATCTCAAGGAACAGTTAAGAGATGAGTAGAGATAAAGAGGATTATGAAAGATGTGTTTAAGAAAATAGAGAAAACCACCTTGGCTAGAATTGAGGCGCTTCAGTGGCAGACCTTGAATATCAGGCCAAGGACTCCGAATTTTATTCTGTAGCTAAAGGGGGAGCTGATAATGGCTTCTGAGATAGAATGACCTAATGAGGCCTCTCAACCCCAGAGCAGGTCCCCCCCTCCTACATCCTGGCTTGTCTAAAGGCATTGGTTTGGGAGCCAAGGATTCCAACCTTCTGTCCGTTCTGCCTCCTCCAGACCCACAGCTGTTCCAGGAAAGGTCATGAGAATTCAAAGACCCAGAGCAAGTCCCAGGTCTGACCCCAACTTGCTGTTTGTTTCACTTTCCCCGTCTACAAAAATGAGCCCATTACCTTTATTTATCCTAGGAGTAACAAAATTAGGATAACAGAATTTGGATCTGCTCCTGCCTGGAGGGAAACTCTCATGGGCTTTCCATCGGTATCCAGAGGCTGTGTGGAACTCCGGAAGAGAGAGAGGCTGGCCTCTGAAGGGTGGGCACCAATCCAGGCCCGGCCCTCCTCTCAGCCAGCTCCACTCACCCCCTCTCAGTGCGGGCCAGAGGAAGCAACAGCTGTTGTCCTGTGGGGAAGACAGGCAGAGGTCCACCTGGCACTGCTGGGATTTTCACAATGCCCGCCCCAGTGACTTTAAACACACACGCACACGCACATGCATGGTAGTGGCCTGGCAGGGGTTGGGCCAAGAGATATGACTATGGCCATAGAACGAGGAGGTGGGGGTAGCTACCTCATCTCCCCGGGTAGAGGCTGCTTGTATGAGGGGCTTTCTTCCCTCCCGTCTTCTCCCCCCCCCCATTTTGTCTTTTTGCTCACCCCTTTCTAATTTTTCTCTTTTCCCCTTTGCCAGACTCTCTGATCAGTCCTTGGCCTGATGCCTGACCCCTTTTGTTCTCCCTAATCTTGTCCCCCTTCCTCCATCTTTTCCTCTTGCCCCTTACACAGGGCGAAGGAAAACTGGCAAAATTATCCTACCAAGTGCAAAGGGAAGCAGATCCTGGAAGCTGGAGGGTTGGGGCAAACCAATCAATAAATAAAATCACCTGCCTTATCCAAACAACTGAGGCAAAGTAAGGGTTTCAGCTTGAGTTGTGAAGGTGGTAGTTTCAACTCTTTAATTTTTGTATGCAAACCTAAACCTTTACTCTCTCTCCCCTTTGGCCTAGACAGTAGGGTGGTGTTTGACTTTCACACAGCACTCAGGCCGGCTTCTGGAGAACTCAGGATAATGGACTTGAAGAGCAAACTAGGATAATTATAATGACAGGAAAACACAAGAGCACAGAGCAGTGCAAGTCGTGGTTTGAAAACATCTCACTCTAGAATAATGAGAAGTGAGGAGTCCTGGCTAAGAATTCAAATGAGCTCCTGGCCTCCCACTCCATCCCCTGAGCCCAGCTTCTGGTCCGGGGCTGGACGGGCCTGTGCTGATCCACATTCTGTCCACAGTCCGCTTTAAACCATGGATTTTATTTCCAAACATTTGCATTTCTACAGCAGCAGGGGCATAATTCTCTATCCAGAAGTTCAAACTGTAGAGATTCCGGCACCTTAACAAAGCAGCGAATGCTGTTCCCATAGCCAAAGCCTCGCTGAGAAACAGGCGCCAGAGGCCCGGGGGGAACTTGTTCCCGGTTCTCTGTCCCCATCTAGTGGTGCTTCCCATCTCCAACACCACTTTTTCTTCCAAAAATCATCCTGGGCACTCTGCCTACTAAAATGATGTCCCCCAAGCCTCAAAAACAAACACTTCCTCTTCCCAACTCAAACTTCTGACTTCTGGACCAGAACACAAACTTTACAATCAAGATCATTTGTTTGTTTTTTTTTTTTATTTTGTTTATTTATTTGAAAGAGAGAGAAAGCGAGAGAGAGCACAGAGGTAGAGGGAGAAGCAGACACGGTGGAGCAGAGAGCCTGACATGGGGCTCGATCCCAGCCCCCTGGGATCATGACCTGAGCTGAAGGCAGGTGCTTAACTGACTGAGCCACCCAGGCGCAGACCATTTGCATGGCTTTGCTACAGTTACAATCTACACAAGGGCCTTTCACTCCTCTGCTTAGAACCGTCTTCCTGCACGCCCCCACCTCCGGCCCCAGGGCCTCCCCAGTGTGTCGCAGTAAAAGTCACGGTCTTCACTGGTCTCAGAGGCTTTCCATGATCTGGCCTCTGGTCCCTCTCCGATCCCACCGTCCGGCACCTGCCCCAGCCACACTGGACTCCTGGCTGTCCCTCCAACATGCAAGCATCTGTCTGCTTTAGGGCTTTCACAGCGCTGTTCTCTTTGGACCCTTCTTCCCCAGGCAAGCACAAGTTCGCTTTCTCATCTTCAGGTCTTTGTCCCAGAGTCGCCTGCTTTAAATGTCCCTATTTAAAAATCACTGCCTACCAACCTCCCTCTTGTTCTACCTTTGTCCTTAGCAGTTATCACTTCAAGCAAAGGGTATATTAATTTTTTACTGTCTTTCTCCCGATGGAATGTAAGCTCCACGAAGGTAGGGATGTTTGTCTCTTTTATTCACTGATCTATCCCAAGCACCTCAGCACATAGTAGACACTCGAGAAATATTTGAATTGAAAAAAATATTTGAATTGAAAAAAAAAAGGACTGTTCATCGCAGTTTTCCAAACTTCCCACCCATAAGTGTGATGCTTCTATTCCTCGGTGTCTCGGTTCTTCTGAGGGCCATATGGCAAGCTCACTAGAGCCCCCAGAGCAGTACCAGCTCGGGCTCTCCGCACACCAATAACTACCGCAAGGAGCAGGCCATGCAAGGTCAAGGCCTAAGGCAGAATGAAGCAACCACCACCACCAACAGCATTTTCAAATTTGGACAGTGTTTAAGTTTTGCCGATCTCAATGAAGGAGGGAGGAAAAGAGTGAAGGATGGAAGGTGTTGGGTGCCTTCTCCAGGTAAAGCCAGGTGGCCCTGCTCAGCACCTGGCACTGAGGGGCCCAGAGGAGTGAATCACTGCAGAATAGCTGAGCTGGGGTGGTGTTGGGCATCGTGACTGGGGTGATTCATCCGCTTCCCTGGCTCCTCCATCTCCTCCAAAAGATAAGCAGGAAGTCCTGATGACAAGAAATCATACAAAGCAATATTCTAGGCTATTCTCTCTGTATCTCAGGTTAGAGAAAAAGCTATTCTTACAGTCACAGTGATTGGCTCTTCCCAGAATCATGAACCAGAGATGTATATAGGAGATAAACGGCAGTTCTCCCTGAAATTCATTTGGGGTTGACACCGGGGTCAGGTGCTTTAGTAGTCATTAAAACCATGTGGCCAGAGGCCAAATCCAGTCTTTGAATGTGAAGAGTGAAGTTTCCTCATTGCTGAACCTGTTTAGGCAGGTACGCTAGCTCCCTAGGTATCCACTTGTTTGGGACATGTAGGTGGAAAGGCACGTATACTTGATTCATTTCCTGATCCCCGACTGCTCCCTGGCCCACCCCAAACAGAAGCAACATAGATCAGGCCAGCTCTTAAGGAGTTAAAAGGCAAGTGATCTGAGGCCAGTAACAAGTAAGGGCATCCATCCTGAGCCCCGGACTCAGTGAGGAGGGGCAGCCTGTGGTGGGACCTGAGTCGGGAGAGAGGCCAGAGAAGGGACATCACCTGATGCAGGTGAGTGATATGACAGACAAAGGAGGAGGGGGTAAGGACACACATAGGGGAGAGAGGAGAGTGTTGCTGGGGGATGGAGGCACAGAGTGGGGCCACGGGGGCCACGGGGTGGTATCATGGGAGGGATGAGACACAGAGCAAGGGCTAAGGACCCAGGGGGAATCGGTCTCAAGGGAGAAGAGGTAGAACAAAGAATAGGAGGCGAGAAGGACGGAACGAGGGAAGACGGGCATACGGGGGGAGGGGGGAGGGGGTCACAGTGGGTGAGGAGGGCACACGAGCAGGAAGAGGGGATGAGACACAGAGCAAGGGCTAAGGACCCAGGGGGAATCGGTCTCAAGGGAGAAGAGGTAGAACAAAGAATAGGAGGCGAGAAGGACGGAACGAGGGAAGACGGGCATACGGGGGGGAGGGGGAGGGGGTCACAGTGGGTGAGGAGGGCACACGAGCAGGAAGAGGGGATGAGACACGGGGGGGAGGGAGGAAGGAGACCTGGGGGAGGGTCACGGTGATGAGCTAGAAGGACACATACAGAAAGACTAATTTCTCACCCCCTGCTGTCCGTCCCCAGCAACCCCAGCCTTCCCTCTGCGCTGCTCCCCTGCGAGAGGGTCGCAGCCAGAGCAGGATCCTGCCCCCTACTGCTGCTCCTGCTGCTGGGGCTGTGGGTGGCTGAGGTCCCCGTCAGGGCCAAGCCCAGCACTGTGACCTCGGCTCAGTGGCTTGAAATTCAGCACGCGCAGCCCAGGCCCCAGCGGGGCAACACGGCGATGGGCAAGGTCAACAAGGACACAAAACACTGCGAACCCTTCGACACCTCCCTGCACCAATCCTTCTCCAGTTTGGCCGCCACCTGTCAGACCCGCAGCATGGCCTGCAAGAAGGGCCAAAGAAACTGCCACCAGAGCAAAGAGCCTGTCTCCCTGAGCACGTGTGAGCTCACCTCAAGGAAGTACCCAGGCTGCAAGCACAAAGAGAAGCGACAGGTCGCTTCTTACATTGTGGCCTGTGACCCTCCTGAGAAAGGGGACTCTGGAAATTCAAGCTGGTTCCTGTGCACTTGGACAAAATCCTGTAGGTTTTCGGACTTCCTCCCTCTCGTGCTGTGCCTGACTTCCCTCTCCGGACCCCTGGGCCAGTCCTCGTATGGCCCACAGGTTATCTTCCTCCCGTGTCTTAGGGCCCCTCCTAGCTCAACCTCTTCTGAAAGGGCTGAGCTCCAGAAGAGACGGTCGGTCCTTCCTCTTTCTGTGGCTCTTTTCCCAGAAGCTTATCTCCAAAGGAGGGGCTCTGGGTTCCCCGGTCTGGGCCTGGGACATCTCTCCCCTGCCCCATCTTCACGGCAGCCTGACAAGAGGAAGAAACGAAAGGACAAATTGGGATTTATGGACAGAGCTGTTCCTATTCCCGAGCTAGGAACCTTCCCCGGCTAACGTGGTAGTGATATGACCTGTGTGAGGAGAGGCGGCTGGAAAGAAAGAAAACGAGGTACCACTCCATATTTATATAGCACTTTAGGTTTTTCATGGTGTTGCCACATGAGTCCCTTGGGATAGACTTGAGAGGGATCATGGGCCTTCTTTGGGGGAGGAAATGGAGCTTTCAGAAAGCATAATTAATTAAAGAGCTTGTCGAATTGGTGAGTAGCAGAGCCTGGACTTGAACCTAGGTCTCCTTATTCTAAATACAGGGCACTTTGTACTTGTCTCTTGGGCAAAAAAGGAGAGACCTCTGCAGGGACGAGAGAACTGGGTAAGAGCTCACCCATGAAGATATGTACCCTGAGGGCTTTTAGGAGCCAGTTACCCTGTGCCCGCTGCAATCAAGGTCACTAGCTCTCTAGCCAAGAGCTATTTATGAGGTGCTCCAGGGATCGTAATTCATTCTCTCTCTGCCTCTCTAACTGGCCTCCCCCTTCTCTAGCCCACTGCCCTTCCGACCTGGGCCCCGGGCCTGTCTCTGGCTAGATCCCTTTGGCCTGAAGGCATAGGGTCAGGGGAGTGTCCCAGCTTCATCCCCCTGCTCCAGGATCACATTTCCCTTGACCTCAAGGGACTTCCGTGGCCCAGAGCCTGCTGGTCACAAACAGGCTGGTGGGAGCTGCCAGAGCTTCCTTCCTCTGATAATGATCTGTCCTGCCTCGGTGCTTCCCTGGCTCCCCACTCTGGCAGTCTGCCCAGGCCGGAGGGCTTGAGATGTGGAAATGCCATCTCCCTGTCCCCCCTGGGCTACAGACACCATTGCTCTGTCTCTAGTGAGCAGAACTGGAGAAGCTACGGCTTTACCTTGGCTCTCTTTTGAGGTGCAAACGCCCCACCCCACCCCCATTGCCTGCAGCCCTGACCGTCACCTGACCGTTCTTTCGTTCCTTTATTTCAGTCCCAGACAAACTGCACGATGCCCCATGCCCGCCCTACTTCACTGCCCAGCTACCTTGTTAGACCTTCCCTTCCCAGCCAGGGCGTCTCTTCTCTTCCTGTCCCTCCCCGACACCGCCAGTGCTCCTTTACTCCTTACCAGAGTCAGAGTCAGCTTTGGAGCCAGAAAAAAATTGGGTGTAAATCTTGGTTGGCTCGGTCTTCCTGGCTATGTGACCTCAAGCAAACTAAGGCACCTCTCTGCAGCTGTGTTTCCATACGGTGAAATGGGAGGAATCCCACCTACCCAACAGGATTGCAGGAAGATTTAGAAATGGTATTTATGTAGCCTTAATCAGCCCTCAGCACTGGTAGGCATTTAATAATGATCACTGGAAGTAGCAAATAGCAGTCCAGTCATATTCACCTTGGCAAGCATGCAGATGAAGGCAAATACCCCACTCAGTTTTTCTTGAGGGCTTTCTCCTGCTAGAGAGAGGTTCTTGAGTAGCCTAGAGGACAGGTCTGCAGGCAAAGTCCTGCTAGCTGGGCTGGATGGTTTGAGAGGAGGAGAGAAGCTAGGGAGGGGATGGTCAAAGAAAGAGCAGAACATTGAACAATTCAAGCAGAATGTGGGACCAATACATTGGTGAGTCTTGGAAGTAGAGATGCACTAAATACACATTGTAGCCAAATGCCAGATGACCGAGTGTAAATGGTCATTATACTCTACATTTATCACTCTAAACAGATGGTTTTGACTGAGATGCATAGAAAAGCAAGATACTTAGGGCTATTGATTTTTTCCCTTTATTCTTTTTTTCATAACTCTTTATATATTCATATAGACATAAACTGTATATGTTGATATTTATCACATATAAATATAAAGTATATATATTGATTTTTTTCTTATGGATGTTATGGTTTTGAAGACATCCTCCTCAGAAAATTTTGAAGTGGCTAAAATGATACTTTTAATGCATCCTCTGAAAATGAGAAGAATTTCCAAATAAAACTTTTTCTTGAAAGATTCATGACCTAAATAGTATTAAATAACTAAAAATTCAGCATAATTCAAAAGTAACCTGTGGTGGTAGAGTTCAGAATAGTGGTATCTTGGGGAGCACTAACTGGGAAGGGGTAAGAGGTAAGCTGGAAATGTTCTTTCTCGGTCTGGATATGTTTACTTTGTCGGACAACCCATTTTGCTGTATGCTTAAGATTTGTGTACCTGACTGTATGTGAGTTATACCTCAACAAAAAAAATCCTCCTGAATGTATAGTGCTTAAGAATTATTTTATTTAGGGGCACCTGGGTGGCTCAGTCATTAAGCGTCTGCCTTCAGCTCAGGTCATGATCCCGGGGTCCTGGGATCAAGCCCCACATCGGGCTCCCTGCTCAGCGGGAAGCCTGCTTCTTCCTCTCCCACTCCCCCTGCTTGTGTTCCCTCTCTCACTGTGTCTTTCTCTGTCAAATAAATAAAATCTTAAAAAAAAGAATTATTTTATTTAACATGATAAATGCTAATACATGAATCAATTCTATAACAACTATGATATCATGGAATCATAGGTAGAATTAAGATATAATCTAATTTCTGTTGTTACGCCTTATACTATGTTTTGAATTTAATAGTACTTATACTATTTATTAAATTGTTATAAATACTTTTGGCTCAAAAAGCACATAAGCTTCTTTTTAAAGTTATCCAGTTAATATACTATCTCTTATTAAATATTAACTGTCAGCTAATTTTCCTATTTTATGTGAAAATTCTTCATTGTTTTGTATATAAGCTTTGACAATCAATTATTACAGCTTTTCTTTTCCTTTTTTTAAAGATTTTATTTATTTATCTGAGATAGAGACAGAGTGAGAGAGAGAGAGAACATGAGCGGGGTGAGGGGCAGAGGGAGCAGCAGACTCCCTGATGAGCAGGGAGCCTAACGCCGGGCTTGATCCCGGCAGTCCGGGATCACGACCTGAGCCGAAGGCAGATGCTTAACCGACTGAGCCACCCAGGCACCCCTATAGCATTTTTCTTAAAATAATAAATGTGCATTTATACTTCTACTGACTGATAGAATTTCGACATTTAAAAAAGTTCATAAGGAAAATTTCACTCCCAAGTTACATCTAGAATGCTCACTAATATTTAAAAGTGATTCAGATATTAACAATGAATCCAAATGACTTGCCTTGTTCTCATTACTGATGCTTCAACTGCTTGACAGTCACCCATTCCTTCACATGACCTTGATCACAGCCAAGTTGACAGATGCCAAGAATAATGTTGAAATAAGCATTTGGTTATTCAGCTTTCCAAAGGTCAAATGTGAGGTCCAAAGTGAATAACAGGTTTGGGCCAATTACCAAGGCTGGCTGAAGCTTGATGCATTCCTACCTAAAACTTGAAGAATGGGAAAAGGAGGCTGATTAGTTATTAAACACTTCTGTTTCTGGGGGTGGGAGCTTGGAGAGGGGAGGAGGGTGTGAAGGGAACATTACCCAGCCTTGTGTAGGTGTCTTTAAAGAAAATTGTTTCAACCTGGACCTAAGAAGCAGAGATGGGAGTCCAGTATGGGGCTCCTGGGTGGCTCAGTCACTTAAGCGTCTGACTCTCGATTTCTGCTCAGGTCATGATCTCAGGGTCGTGAGATGGAGCCCCATGTCGGGCTCCGGGCTCCGTGCTGGCATGGAGACTGCTTAAGATTCTCTCTCTCCCTCTCCCTTTGCCCCCCAACCCGTTCACCCATGTGCACTCTCCCTAAAAAAAAAAAAAGAAAAGAAATGGAGTCCAGTAAAGAAAGTAACCCAAGAACTGGTGCGAAAGCTTACTCACTTTCCTACAAGTGAGAACTGAGGTGTTTTAGGTAGGAGACTCTTTTACATGACCCAGGTTTCCCAGTCTCCATACTCTGAAGTAAATGACCCAAAGACACTATGAAGAAGGCCAACTGAGTCAATGTGAGGAGAAGTGTCCTGATCCCAAGGGGAGAATGTGAGAAGAGGAAATGCCCTTGAGATGAGGACCCTTCTCCACACATTGATTCATAGTGTCAATGGCCTTATTCATAATATCCATGGCTCTAGGCGATAACCCCAGTGCTATGGCAGCAGAAAACATACCGATAGCAATAACATTCAGGGAGCCTTTCGTTTGAGAGAGCCTTGGCCCATTCTTATGCTCCTGCATGACTGAGCTTCCAAAAGTATTTTGAAGACTTTAGATTCTCTCTTTTAAAAGGTCTCCACCTACCCCTATCCTACCATGGAAGGTAGAAAGAAGAGCAGGTACAGCTCTTGCCAGGATGTTTACCTATGCAGGACTCCAAATCAGTCAGCCTGGGAGCATCCATGAAGCCACAGAAGCATGAGAAAACATCACTAATGGGACCTTGTAGGAAGCCCATAGTTCCCAAGAGGGGAGGTAAAGAAAGATGTTTACCTATAAAGGAAATACACATTATGATGGAAAATCCTTATCTCTATAAAGGTAAGCTACTTCATAGGAGTATTAGATAGATTAAATGTGACGATATATTTAAAGCACTTAGTACAGTGGCTGGCCTGTAGGAAAAGTTCAAGAGGTGTTATCATTTATATTTATTGCTGTGGTGTCAAATGTTGGGTGACCAAACCTGTGATGGATGGAACAGGCCTGACTTCCGTGACAGAAAAACAAAGGATTTAAACGAGGCCAAACTCCTCCTTAGC